AAAGTAATGTTATTAACACTGTGAGGTCAATATTTTATCAGTAAAGTAATGTTATTAATACCATGAGGTCAATATTTTACCAGTCAAGTAATGGTATTAAAACCGTGATCTCAATATTTTATCAGTAAAGTAATGTTATTAACACCATGAGGTCAATATTTTACCAGTCAAGTAATGTTATTAATACCATGAGGTCAATATTTTACCAGTCAAGTAATGGTATTAAAACCGTGATCTCAATATTTTACATTCAAGTTATTTTATTAACACCGTGAGGTCAATATTTTACCTGTCAAGTAATGTTATTAACACTGTGAGATTAATATTCTACCAGTCAATTAATGTTATTAACACTGTGAGGTCAATATTTTATTAGTTGAACTTCTATTATTATAAAAGAAGGAAAAGAAAGGATGGGAGGTTAAAATATTTGTTATAAAGCTCAAATACAACAAGAAAACCATAGGAAATAATCAAAGCAATACTCAGTTGACATATTTTTGGTATTAGTATTTGTTGTGTGTATGATACAAGTACAATTTTTATGAGCAGTTGTCTACTATATGGTGTATTTTAATGTTTTGCCAACAGAGTAATGTTTACTTGTTTGAAGTCAGTATGGTAGCAAGTTGTCAAGTTATTAGACCAAAATGTACCTATTTTAGTAGTCAAGTGCTTTCCTGATCTTGACATGATGTATTATAATTTTACTTAATACTTATATAAATCTGTCATTTGTGAACTTGGTATATAACATTACATACAATCTTGTAACAGGAGTGCATATCTAAATCCATAAATGTCTTTTATAAATGAACAAGTGATACTTTTTTTTTGCAATATAAACATTAAATAAAGGTGCTGGGCCAATTTTAAATAAAAATAAACACGTTAATCAAGCTGACAAAGCGTGATTATAATTAACTAGCTCAGTTCCCATCATATGATAGTAAATGGTGATTAATTTTTCTTTTGAAAATTAAATATAAATACATATTTTATTAACATGTTTTCTAAAAAATAATTACATTATAGTAATGATTTACATATAAGAATGTTTATCCTTTTTCTAGTATTCAGTGAAACACTTTGTGTTTATTTGGTCGTGTTCTGTAAGTGGTCCTTGATTAGAATTCTGACATATATATATTTTATTTCATGTTCAAATCTTGATAAAGCCTTATAGATTGAACTAGGCAAAAAAACTGGTTCTCAAAGAAATGTCTGACTTTGTGATTTATTAGTTGTTATGGCAAAGGCAAATAATTTGATTGTGAAGGGCAAATGTACTTGAGTATAACTTTTGATAAAAATCCTTATAAATTTTTTGAAAAAATAAAAAAAAATCCTTTACCAAAGGTGAAAAAACATCAATAATAATGTATTGTAGCGCCATCTGTTAATTGAAAGGATATTTAAGTTGTTTTCACACATACCTTCACTGGTATTTATTATGTAATATGATATTATCCGTAACTTAATTTATAATTTTATTTATATTTTTTCTAATATTCAAATAACTTTTTGTAGATATGATTGTGAATATATTAAAAATAAATATAATATAAACATGACAGTCGAGATCTATAACATCTATACAATCTTTGTAATCAGATGTTAACAGATAATTCAAATCCCTAATGTAAATTATAATGCTAATGTAGTTTTCCTAATATTATAATACCTTGCTCTAAACATGATGAGTTAGTAATTTAAAAAAGTAATAGAAAATCCCACTCAACTGGGATTTGAACTCAATACTTCCGCTTGAAACAGACCACTGAGCCAATCAGAGAAACCAGTGATTTAGGGTTATTTTGATAGATCTCAGTAAATGAAGTTCAGCAAAACTTCTAAAAAATATTAATAATGAAAATATGATATGATGAAACCTATATGGATTATACTATACTGGTACAATACTGAACATTATCCTATCCTTCTTATATTTACTCTTCATTGCGGAAATGGCATTTTAAATTTGAGAATTTCTAGCAACATCATCTTGTAATGCATCGTGTACCAACTTCAACACTGCATCTTTAGGTTTTACTCTGCTGTTAGTTTTACAAAATATTGAAACTAATGATTTCTCATATCCCCCTTTTTGAAGATAACTGTACTACTGTACCCATTTATTTATATTTTGCTGTCAATTCAGTAATCAGTTGATGAATCTCTGATTCAGCTGGTATGTCAGACCAATTGAGATATCTTTGAATAAGTTAGTTCCTCATCTGACACGGACCCACGGTTTACTTTAATCGCTACACTTAAACCACCACATTCACAACCACATCTAGAACATTTGAAGCATGTTTCATCTGCTACATTGTTTTACTTTACATTTACAAGTTAACTTCTCCATGTTGACTCTCATGGTCTTGGGTCAGGTACAGTGATCTAGACTTTGAAAATAATGCCCAAAATCTATTTTTGTTTATTTATATATATATATATGCAATAAAAATTTTATAATTGCAAGACACAGTGATAGATGGTACTAGGCAAGAATGTAGTGTATATCATTTATAATATCATATAATGACAAATCAAGCATGTCCATACTGTTACGACAGCGGGGGTCACGTGACGCTAGTAACACATCATATTCTCGAACGTTCACGTCCCTTCCTGAAATCTCAAGAGCCTACTAGATATGCAGTAGTCTTGTATATATAAACCGGTAAGAACTGACGGCAACAAGGTAATGTGTAATTGAACTGTGGACAGAGAGAGACGTATTGTTGAGCACGTGAGACGTTCATTGTGAATTACAGCGTTTGTTATAGCGTGCCCGTGGAAATTAAGTGTATTGCAAAGTTGTATTTAGAAAGAATAAACCAGTTTTATTTAAGAAAGGACTTGTATTGCTAAAGTTTCTTCAGAAAGAAATTATATGGAAAATTAACTAACAAACGGAGGCGTAACAATACTAACATTTTGTTTTTTCTTTATCTGATGAATGAATGATCAACTTTACTGTCTCAAATATTGAGAAAGTTATTGAAAGCAATTCATCTTTTATACAAACGAGATTCCATGAGATAACAATAAACAGTTGTACATTAATCTCAAGCATTTTTGGCACAATGACACTCAGTGGGTAAATATGAAAACATACAGGGACAATGGTTGTAACAAATGTTGTATAATAAAATTAATTTGTTCTAAGTTGTCCATCCCATGATAAGCTTACAGACTTTCATCTCTAAAATCTGGGATTCAATTAACCGCAGAAAACCCATTGTGGCTTTGCTCTATAACAAACCATCCTAATTTTTCCATTATCTACATTGTAGTTGTTTGATCTTTGATATCTCTGATATTGTTTTTGATATTTCATTGTTTACTTATAACATTGTCAGACAATTTGTAACACCTTTCATAGAAAAAGAGTATATTTAAGGAAATATGAACAGAGTTACGTTGGATGGAAAATTACTGTGCTTAAATTAGCTCCAAAATTATGAAAATATTTTAATTAAGAACCAGAAAAGCCTTTTATAAAAGGTTGATTTTTTTAATCATTTGAATTCAGTGATAATAATTTTAATATTTATATTTATAAAGTAATGTTAGATAAATATAAATGAATGTATTTCCCTAACAAAGATTTTTTTTACCCCTTTAAGCCCCGAGGAACTAGAGGACAACCAGAACACTAGTGTTATCATCCTGTAGTGGCTGTGGACTTCAGTCGGTGTTCTTATCCAATATATTGTGCTTGTTTGTTGCAACGTAAAATTCTACATTCAAAAGCATCACTTGTGATTTTTCAACTTGCAACTGGATATTATAGAGTGTATTAACTACCAGTAAGATTTCTGCCTTTGGTGTACAACTGCTGTAGTCTACTTTTTTGATGTCTTGCTAACCCTGAATCTTATTAGCTCACTTGGTATCAATCTCTGTATATGTACATCATATCGGTTGATGGTTGTGGGATTACAACTAACTTGTGGCATCACTAATCTTGTTCGTAGGATGGTTCATAAGGTTTAGTTCACTTACCATAAAGGTGTTCACTTATTGAAATGTCTTTCAGTATGTTCTAGCTACAACTTCTAAGAAGTAAATGATTGTGTTGACAGCAACATCAGCAGCAAAGGTTTGAGCTTACAATCACAGACTTCCAAGAATTTCTAAGTGTGTTTATTGAGAAACAAGTTTTCCAAATCTGGTTCCAACCCATATCTCCCTTGAACTTCCAGGGTTTTCTTATCTGAAGAAACTGGACGAAAGGAAAGTTTGCAAACAGTGGCGTTTGGACTTCTCTCTGAACCCAAAGAACTCCCAGGACTATTCAGACACAACTTTGTGATTTGACAGTTTAGTGACAGTGGACACCTAGTTCACTGTTCAAATGGACTAAAATTAAGCATAATTTAAAGCTATTTCTGGACTGATGTTTGTGCCAACAAAGCACAAAAAAAATGATGTAGGCATGTTTAATGTATTACAAGAGGCTGCTGTGTAGCTGTCTGCTCAAGGAAGGTAAAGTATATTGGTTACAGTTTGGATTAAGAAGACTGTTACGTCCATCCGATTATGATACTTTTTCATATTCTGGGTCACATCAGTTTGTTTCATTTATTGCTAGTTATAATGGAGAAGAAATTGTGATTGTTTTGTATATCAGAAATTTGTAAGTTGTTTGACTGGCATTCAAGTTGAAAGCATTCAAAGTAACAAAATAATTTCAATCATATTTTCAAAATGGTAGATTCTTATTACTGTGCTTAACTATCATTATTCTGAAATAGTTTATAATGGAAATTGCACTGGTTTAACGAAGTCTGCTCTACATTGATCTAAACTATGAAGAATGGGATATTTTCTAACAAATTTGAACATTTTCTCCGACTTAATGAACATGAATTGTGAATAAATGAGGTAATTGATTAATTTCTTTACAAAGTATCAATACTATTTTGTTATATATATATTATAGGTACGTTTGATTTACATGCAGCTTTGGATGAGAAAATTGTTTCCGTTTGTATTAGGTGTTGCAGATGGTAAATGTTTGATACATGGTTAGTCTGCATAATGGTGTCAAGGCTACTGTGTAGCTTGTATTTTAGCAGCTTGTTTTGGTTGACCTCTAAGTAAGCATGTTAACAATCTTAGAATGAGTATTGGCTCATGACTTGTAACCACAGATTATTGAACAATAAACAGTGACTAATCTTTTACATTATTATTATTTTTGAACAAGCTGTTTCTTATAAGAGTTTATGAGTTTTTTGAATGAGAGAGTTAAGTTTATCAGTCAAGTCCATCGTTGCTTGGTTACTGAAGCAAATTGACTTTAACTGTCATAAAATCATGTACTTTATGTTTGAGATCTCTGTTTTACGTGGAACATGTGTGATAAAATCATAACTATAAGGATGATGGATTGAATAAGATTTTAAATTGATTAAATAAAATTTTAAAAAATTGATCAATGTTTACACAGTTACTCTATTAAGCTATTAAAAGTGATCGTTCAAGTGACATATTTAGTTGTTTGCTTTTTTTTAGTTGCCATATACTAATTAAATAATTTTGGCATCAGTATATACTTTATTGACAAAGTTAACTTTATACGTGTTTAACAGTTTAAATTATTTAACAAATCAACTCAAATATTATTAAGTTACCAAGACATTGAAGATATTAAAATCGGGGAGAATGGAACATTGACCACACACTAAGGATATGGACTAACAAATCTGATCTTTTTATGTAATACTTTGACCACAATCTGTAACTTTTTATGAATATGGGTATACTTCACGAAAATATTAATTTCTGTTTATGCCTGCTTAAGGGCATGTGCAATAAGTTTCAATCATTAAACATGATTTAGCTAAAAAAAAAGTTTAATAATTAATCTGAAGTAACTAAGAATGGATGTTTTCAAAAATGTTATCCTACAATATTGCTTTTTATTGGTATTGGATACTTTTAATTTTGTGAAAGAGCTTGGATTACAGCTTCCTAATATTTTATGTGGATTCTATAATATTTTAACTAAGTAAGTGAATTTGCTGTTGATTTACTTATGTTAACTAATGTAATTGATGTTTATGTGTTAGAAAGTGTGTTTCTTTAATAACAGAGTTCTGAAAACTGTTGTGGCCCAGATAAAGAAGAAACAAATCAGTGAGAGGAATGTACAACTGATTAGTTTTTCTCAGTCTCTGTGAGGTTCTAGTACGTTTTAGCTGGTTAAATGGACATTTGGAAAAGTACACCAAGATGTACAATGTAACTTTCAAACTCAACTCGGTTCCCATTTCAGTATTCTTCAGAGCTTAGAATTTCACTTTAATTCAAAGAGAATAGGGACAAACAAGTGACACAAAATGTCCATAAGAATCATAATAACTGAGTAATTAAAATTTGTAAAATCAGATTCAATATTCCTCAGAGCTTAGAATTCCATTTCAATTCAAAGAGAATAGGGACAAACAAGTGACACAAACTTTGCAAAAAGAATCATAATAACTAAGTAATTAAAATCAGATTCAATATTCCTTAGAGCTATTGATTAGAATTTCATGTTAATTCATAGAGAATAGGGACAAACAAGTGACCCAAAATTTGCAAAAAGGATTATAATAACTAAGTAATTAAAGTTTGGGGGTTTAAGCAGTGTACATTCCTTCTCCACTGTTCTTTATTATATAGTAAGAGGTTATAAATGTTTTTGACAAGTGTTCCTTCATGATAAGTATTGTGAGAGATTAACATGGCCAATAAATGGTGAGCAAAAAATTACCCAAACAGTTTGTAGTGTTTTCTTTGAATAGCAACTAGGTGAAAGTGCATCATACTTCAGATAATCGATATATTGAACAGTGTTAACCACTGGAAGAAGAAGAAGAACTTAATACATCAAAAATAAATAAAATCAAAATATTCAAGCTCTTTGTACTCAGTTCAGTAATGACCATTAAAATCTTTGAGATCTTCAAAATAATTTCTGTTGTAGATATTATTACAATCTTGTTGAATCTACTACATGTGAATCTGTTACTACATATCTGATATCCTACAGTCAATTCCAAAATGATACAAAGTTGTAAGTACTTGGTGTCTTGCGACGTAAGTAGTATCAAGGTATAATTCAATGACAATTGGCAATTGAATGATAGATTGGGCTTCATATTTAATTTTACTATTTTAAACAGGCTGCCAAATAATTCAGAGGAATACATTAGTAGCATCAGTTCTACACATTCGTCAAATCATATGTAAATACACGTTCATTCGGTGAGTATAAGAACTCAAAACACCACACGTATGAGTTACAAGAAATGTTTCAGACTTAGCCAAGTAGCATTTACTGATTTACTATACAAGTTCTTCAGTTAAACTACTAGTGTAAGGTTAGTTATTCAAAATGTACTTACACATTCGATAGTGCTTCATCCAAAACAATAATGCATTAAAGCTCCACCTCTTGAAAGTATTAAGTAAAGAAAATAAACAGGTAATTGACACTTGTAATTCTAAAGTAAATCTACTCAAGTTGCAATGTATATATATATATAAATAAAGTGAGAGCAAAGTATTTCAAATAACTTATTTATAGCACTAAACTTTATCAGCTTATTAGTTATTCACTCTAATTACAACTAAAATTACAAATCTTTACTTAAAATCTGACACATGTAGAAATTTCTTACTCCAGCTTTTAAATTGTGTATATCATTATGACTTGAGTGGTTCTTATTTTGAATGTTTACGTATTGAATTGTAGGTGATGTGGTTATAATTTGTTTGTCAGTGGTCTTTATTTGGATTTCTTCAACATTTATTAGTTGCTCTTTTCATCTTCGTAATACTGGAGTTTCTGAATGGCTGTAACCCTTCATTTTGCCTAAAGATTTTTCCATTTGTGACTTCCCACAATGTTCCAGTTCTATGCTACCCTTGGAATTATTTTCTCCATTATCAATCATACCTAACCTTATGGCCATTTTTATCCATTACTGCAGTTTTCACTGTAACCAGCTTCTACAAGATGATGGCAAGGTCAGTCTTAGACCATAAATCTTGACAGACTTTTCACAAATCGTCCAATCTATGTGGATGTCAACTTTGAGGACCATGCTTAAGAAAAATAATGGCACAGAGGTTCGTGGGTGAGGACTGGGGTAACTCTATAGCTATTTCAAAGAAGAGGATACCATAAATATCAGTTTCATTCACCTTACTTCTTAGAAATGCTATGATAATGAACTTGTGAATTAACGTTTTATCCTATTGTAGTTATATGTGTTAACATCCTGGCTATAGTTCCAGACTTTCATCTTGCATAACTGGTGTTAGTAGCTGAGTCATTTCTGTTTTGATTTGCATTTTGTGGAGTTTTAAATTACTCATTTAAGCTGCATCATCCATAAAGCCTAACAACAACAAAAAACTTTCTTTACAGACTGTACAATGTTGAAAGGTCTTTTTGTACAAATATCCTCCTTCAAGGACTGTAACATATCTTTTAGCCATATGTGGTATCATTTCACTGTCAGTTGGAAATTTGTTATAAACCAAACATTGTGTGTCATCATGCTACTGCATTAGTGTATGCAGTTTGTTCTTATAAAGTGCAGTTAATCCTCACTATTTTCATCTACAAGGTTTTCTGTATACTTACATTAAATTCATTTTAAATCTGATGTTGCTTCAACATCTGGTTATGCTCATGGTAACACGTTTTAGTTCTTTTGGCCTGTTCTAGGTGGTCAATTTAAATTTTGTTCATGTATTTATAGATATTTTTAAACTTACTGCCCACGTTCTCCCAGTTTTAGGACATGCTTGCGTGCTGTTTTTTTTTTTTTCTTTATTGAAAGATCACCAGAAATGTTTTTCGTGCAACACTGCTTCAACTTATAGCCATTTTGAAGTGTCAGTTCACTTTTGGCACCAAATAAATAAATCTATATAGTAATGTTTCTAATTTTTTTTAATTACTGATGAGTGACTCACAGGTTTGTTGAAAAATTATCAAACTTATTTATTTGTTACAAGAACTTGAATATAGTTCCTTAACTCAACTAAAGTATGTTTCGAAGATCCACTTCAAGAAATTTTAAAAAGTATCTAATCCAACCAACATAATTGAAATGCTAAATAATGATAACTTTAGATCAGAGTAAGCTAAGTACTCAGAGTGAAACTTAAGAAATAACTTGGTAATCAGTATCGATAATTAAATATAATTTTCTTATTGATTTATTAAGATTAGAAGCCATTATTTCATCAGTTGGGTACCTCACTGTTAATGATATTTTGGTCATAAACCCATTAATATTGTTACGTATCTGCTTGTTTGTTAATTTCCGGTATAATTATTTTCCGAGGAACTTCAGTGATACAAGTCCTTTCTCAATTAAATTTAGTTTATTCTTTCTCGATACAACTTTGTAATGCACAGAATTTCCATAGTCACTTTAAAGTTAACAACCTTTATAACACACGCTATAAATCACAGCGATTCACACACTTTACTTACGGTGCCTACTGTTTCCTTGACTCAATTATCTCTATCTTCAATCTATCTGTCTATCTCGCTGACTTTCTTTGTCAGGCTTATATACTAAAAAAGAGGGCGTTTAGAACAAACTAGAGTTGCCAGGAAAATTCATGATCCTTCCAGAAACTCCAGCGCGTATGCTCCCAGCATCGCGTGACTTCCGCTGTCGTAATACTGCCTCTTCCTTAGTATTGTTCGTCCCAAACAATAGCCACTTACATTAAACCAATAGATAATTAACAATAACTTAATTAAATCTACAGAATATACAAACACAAAATTAAAATACAACAAAGACTCTTAATTTTACAGGACGTATCTTCTTCTGTACTGGTCTCTGTCTCATTGGCTTCTGGTTCACGTGGGGTTCATCTGCTCCATCAGGAAATGTTCCATTATCGGTAACAGTTACATAAGTGGTAGTAACTTCAATAACGGCTTCACTGTTTCCCTTCTCAAAACCGGGTACAGTTTCTTCTTCGACAGTGGCTTTTTTTTTAGGTGACACGTCTTCAGCAGCGTCATTTGTTCTGTGTTCACTTTGTCCCAACTGAAATGTCCTGGACCGTGATAATGCCAAAGCCTGTTGGCATGTACCACCTTCGGCTTACTGCGCCAACAACATTTTATTCGGAAAGTCACGTCAGAGACAAGACAACTTAGGAGACTTCCCTTTGGTCTTCCTTGGATTATACAACCACACCTTGTCTCCTGGTATAAAGCTGAGTTCAGTAGATTTCTTATCATAACATAGCTTCATGGAATCAGCAGACGTTTTCAAGTTTGAATGCACTTGATGGTGAATATCAACCATCCTT